TATGGCGGACATAAAAATTAAAAGATGGTCAAATTCCCTTAAAACTTGTTATACGGGGGTTTTCAGTGTCTCTGAAGTTGAATTAAAGCTTTTTGAAATAAGAAAATAGTAGTTTTTTCAATTTATAAGTTTTTAATTTACTTGTCAAATACAAATTTTACAGTAAATTCGGCAGTCAATATAAACATAATGTCAGTGCAAAGGAGTGGAATAGTTAGTACAAAAATTCTTCATCATAATCGGAGTCCAAATTTGAAATCTCTGATTCACTTGTACTACTGTCGTTCAGTTGAAACTGTTTATTAATATTTTCGTGCACAGGTGCAGATGACGATTTGAGTAGCTGTAAAACTTCCTGTGACAAAGATTTCAATGATAACCATTTATATGTACCGCATCGGATTCTGAAAGATAATTATTTTAAATTAAAATTTATTATTAGATGTATTTAATAAACAATAATCTACAATATTTGAATATAAATAACTTTCTTCTTAAAATAATATAATTACAGTTTTATTCAAAAAATTTAAGTATTGAAAAAACAACAAAGCATAGATACTTTTGTAAAGTATATTGTATATAACAATAATCTATAATGTGCTAAACAAAAAGTTTTAAATTTTAAACCGGTAAATTACTGCTGCTAAGGAATGTTTTCGGTAGTTACTGCGTGAGAATACTCAAAGTTTGATAGTCGTGATCAAGTAATTTAAAAAGTAATATTTCTCAGTTTTTAGGTAACATGCTGCAATTGGCTAATTAATTAATTGATTAACAAATTAACTGAAAGAAAAACTGAAAAATATTACTTCTTAAATCAGTTGAGCACGACTGTCAAATTTGGAGTGTACTCACAGTAACTACCAAAAACATCCACGCTTTGTACGTTGTCATACGCACTGTACACTCTTCAGAGAGAGAAAGAAAAAAGAGAGAGAGAGAAAAGAGAGAGAGAGAGAAAAGAGAGAGAGAGAAACTAGCTTGAGAGGGGGGAACAGGTGTGCGTACAAGGGAAGCCAAGAATTTCTATGCATTAGTATACTATAGCCATGTGCGTTACTCAAGCGAACGCATGTATTTTTTCACGAAAAATTCGATTAAAATTTTTCGGGCAAATATGGGCAGCTAAAATTTGGATATATTATTTATGATACTTTAAAGTACAATCTCCAAAAGTTGTACGGAGGTACTTTTTAGATTTTCAGTTTTAAACAACAAATTTTTTAGATTTTTTAGATTGAAATTAACATGCTCAGCACTTCTTCTAATATATTTTTTTTTAATATAATGATCTTTTACTTACTGTTTGGAGTGGACTCCATTATATTTCCCTAGAATTATGGATTTCGTCCAAATATATAGTAAAAATTTTAACGCCTCCTTTTTTCAATTTTAAACGCAACATCGAGCACTACCACAAACGCTACGTTTCAACTGACACCAGCACTGCTGTAATAGATTTGGGGACTTACTATGAGTGAATTTTACTTCACTAGAGTCCAGTGTAGCCAACTGTCAGTTGAAAAATCTCGATTTAAAACCTAAACTTTTTGGTCTAATGTCCGGTTTTTTTCGATTTGGCCCCACTGTGCAGCCCCACAAAAAAAAAGTGTCATGTACTTTTGACCGGAATACCCTAACCCTATGTATTTTGACGCGCTGAACACGAATCCGAAGTCCGTTTTGCTCAATCACGTCAGGATTTTTTTCTAACCTCAAAAAACGTCGGATTTTGAGAAGTAGGCGATTTTTTTAAAAATTGATGTATTAACTTCAAACTTGGTATCTGGGGGTTTTTTGTGTCGCTGATTACGAATCTGAAGTTAGATTTTCAAAATCAAAAATGTCGGATCCAATATGGCGGACGAATTTTGAAAAAATTTTAAGATTTACTTCAAACTTGGTATCTAGGGGTTTTTTGGGTCGCTGATTACGAATCTGATGTCAGATTTGCGAAATTCGATATGTCTGATTCAATATTAAGGAATTATTTTTAAAAAATTGTCAGATTATTATGAAATTTGGTATCTACAGGTTTTCTAAGTTGCTGACAAGTAACACTAGGGAAGTGCCATACGCCGATTTTTCTGAAACTTGGCAGTTTTGTAGTTTTTTGAAAACAATTTGACACGTATGTTTTGTTTTTCCCCAAAAGCTGATTTATGGGGGAAATACCCCTTGAATTTTTTTTTGGTAGGGGGACATTATTTTACGAAATTTTTCAAAAATTAATGTGCAATAGTGTATCTGGGGGTTTTTTTGGTCACTGATTACGAATCTGATGTCAGATTTCAAAAATTAAAAATGGCATATCCAACATGGACTTCTATCGGCCACATTAGATACGCCATAATCAATTTTTGAAAACTGACATCAGATTCGTAATCAGCGACCCAAAAAACCCCTAGATACCAAGTTTGAAGTAAATCTTAAAATTTTTTCAAAATTCGTCCGTCATATTGGATCCGCCATTTTTGATTTTGAAAATCTAACTTCAGATTCGTAATCAGCGACACAAAAAACCCCCAGATACCAAGTTTGAAGTTAATACATCAATTTTTAAAAAAATCGCCTACTTCTCAAAATCCGACATGTTTTTTGAGGTTAGAAAAAAATCCTGACGTGATGGAGCAAAACAGACTTCGGATTCGTGTTCAGCGCGTCAAAATACATAGGGTTAGGGTATTCCGGTCAAAAGTACATGACACTTTTTTTTTTTGTGGGGCTGTGTAATTGTCAAATTTTGACACAAATTTGATACGTCATAACATTACAATTCAAAAAACACGTGAAATCAATAAAGACCAACTTCAAGTTAGGACAGAAGGACAGACTAAGCATTTTATTATTACAGGGACGTTCTTTGTCAACCGGACCACCCCATCTCTCCATAATTGGTTTAATTTAAAAATTTTTTATCATATTGGAAAAATTAGCTTGGAATGTCTACTTTTTAATCCCGTTGGGCGCTTTTTGAAATTCAAAATGGCGACTTAAATATGGCGCCTAAACGACATAAAAAACACAAAAAATCCACTAATATGATCTATATTATTGTTTAAAGCTTCACATATGACGATAAAAATAACGACAACATAGTTTACTTACAAACTGATAACGTATCTCCATTCAAAATTCAAAAATTCAAAATGGCGGATTAAATATGGCGGATAAAATTAAAAATTGAGCTAGACTCGTGAAAATTACTACTTGGGGGTTTTCGAGGTCGCTGATTACGAATCTGCGGTTACTTTTTAAAAATTCTAAATAGTGGACCAAAAATCCAAAAAATTGAGCTAAACTCGTTAAAATGTTTACCTAAGGATTTTGCAGAACAATCTTTACGAATTCATCGTTACTTTTTAAAAAATCAAAATGGTGAATCTAAAATGGTAGACCAAAATATAAAAAATTGATCTAACTTTTTTATATTGAACGTAAAAAAGTGCCATTTGAGCTTATCAAATACAACGCCAGATAACTTTTTATGGAAATTACGTGAGGATTATTTAATTTAATAATCATAAAACTAGCTTAATTTTTTAATTCTATCCGCCATTTTGAATTTTAAATAGATTTGTCATCAACCATTTAATATTTTTTTAAAACTGACATCGGCTTTGTAATCAGCGACCAAAAAACCCCTATATATCCATTTTTACGAAATTACCTCAATTTTTTAAATTTTTGGTCCACCATTTTGAATCCGCCATTTATTATTTTTAAAAACTGACATCAAATTTGTATCCAGCGACCTCGAAAACCCCCAAGTAGTAATTTTCACGAGTCTAGCTCAATTTTTAATTTTATCCGCCATTTTGAATTTCAAAAAGCGCCCAACGGAATTAAAAAGTAGACATTCCAAGCTAATTTTTCCAATATTATAAAAATTTTTTAAATTAAACCAATTATGGAGAGATGGGGTGGTCCGGTTGACAAAGAACGTCCCATATATAATAATAATATTTCAAGAAATAAATTTTTTTAAGGGAAAATTTTAAACTTTAAGTGTATAAAATTGAATGTAGAAAAATAAACTAAGTATATGTATTTGAAGAAATGTATAAACAATTTTAATATTACAAACTTTTTGATTTTAATAAGAAACAAGTTTAAATTGAGTCCAAGTGAAGACAAAAAAATGTGAGAAAATTAAAAAAAGAATTTTAATCAATTGTAGATTTTTAAAAGATAATCACGGGCAGAAAGGCTGGCCTAGTGCGCGAAATATGTTTAAAAACTATAAATAATACAAATTAGGTATATTTCTTAAATTTTTTTAATGGCAATTAATTCATATTTGCAGACAATGGTATCTGCCTGGTTCAGAGGCTATAAATATGAAAAAGACGTTAGGTGCACGAAAACCGAGACATACAGGTTAAATAAATAATTACCAATATTAAATTTTTTAATTTACGGAATTGATTTATTTTTTTCTAAATAAGTAGATGCTGGTTTCGCACATATAAAAATGATTTGCAGTTCAATGGCACTATGAAAAAAATTAATAATAAATTTAAAATCACGACACCTCATTCTTGTCAGCTAAATTCACATGAATTTAATAATGAAGCGGCGAAAATAGAAATGATAAAAATGTGCCAAAATATGATGCTACCATTACGAGAAATTTATAATACCATTCGTCGTAAGTAAGTACTTAAAAAATTATTTTCTCATTATTTAAAAGATAATAAAATTTTAAGAAGAATAAGACTTGAGAAAATTAAAAATGCCAATGATATATTTAGAACTTTTTTAAAATGTTATTTTCAATTTTTATACAAATTTTGATGACTTCTAAAATTAATATTTTTTATTTTAAAGAAATTTTATATTTTTATCTTAAACTGTAATTCACGAAAACTGGATTGCAGATTTCGTTTAAAAAATAGACCAACGACCTTAAAGTGGAATAGCATGAAGCAAATAATGCAAAGAGTGAGGACAAATAGCGGCTACAATCAGCCTTCGAATTTAAAAGATTTAAAAAAATGATAAATAAGAATGGAACATTAAAAAACCTTGTTCAAGGTTATGTCGAAGTAAGAGGTAATAGCGCTTTAATTTTAGGTAGCAAATCCTTATTAAACGTATTAAATGGCCAACAGGAAATTTTCATGGATGGGACTTTTAAAGTAAATATTTAACACATTTTCTATTTATACAGTTGTTATTACACAACTTATGATTAATCAACTTTTTTTTACAATTCAAATTTTTACATAAATCTATTAGGTGCCTCCAAAAGTGGCGAAAATCTGTCAATTGTATATAATTGTGATGCGTATTAATGATAAGGTACGTCGAGAAAATATTTTTTGAGCCATATGTTTAATTGTAGAAAATATTTTATTTAAAAAGTAATAAAACCTAAACAAGTTTCAATTTATCAAATATTTATTTTATTAATAACCAATAAGTAAGTAATAATAAGTAAGTAACTTATATTGTGATTTCTATAAAAATTCTCTTATATAATTTTTATTATTAATACAATACGTTGTTGACTAAATATTTTAATATTGTAGAGTGTTGGTGCATTTTTATTTTAATGACGAAGCGCACTAAAGCATTGTATACTGCTGTTTTTACGAAATTGCAAGAGCTGTGCCCCTTCTAAAAATGTCATTAAAATTTGTAATGACAGACTATGAAACTCCAGTCCAGAGAAGTATTTTGAATTTATTTCCCTTTTGCGAAATTTTTGGCTGTTGGTTCCATTTTATAAGGGTAATATTTATTTCTAATAAATAAAATTTTATATTATAAATGTGTAACTTATTGTGAAATAATTTTTAAAGGCACTAAGAAGATTATGGGACCGCTTGAAAAGCTTGAAAAATGCAAATGACATGATTTTAAAAATGGCATTTTGTCTGGCACTAGCTCCAGAAGAAAAATTTTCTGAGGGGTTAGAAGTTTTAAAAGAAAAAATAAATTGTTATGAAGAACAATACCATGAGGAGTTAAAAAAGTTTGTGAGTTATTTAGAACGCTACTGGGGTAGAAAAACTCACATTCTATGCGTTGGTCATTTACCACATAGAACAAATAATATTTGCGAATCTCTAAATAGCAAATTAACAAGAAGAATGGGAAAGCATCCTGGAGTTTGGAAATTTTTGTGTATGTAGAACATAGATTCCATTAACAAATGTCAGAATTGTAAGCATTGATTGAGTCAAATGCAACTATTTTAATAAAATTCAAATGCATTTAAACTTACAATGTTGTTTTTAATATATATTAACATTTGTTTCAACAGTTTTGCTGAAGGGCGTAATTTCTGAAGAGAAAATGAGGTACGAAGATATCCTAAATGGGATATACACTGGGGAAAGAATGCGTTCAAGGGATAAGAACCGAGATATTATAATTCAGAATGCTCAAGAGGAGCTCCAATGCGGAGGGTATAATTAATTAATATAAAATTTTATCTGTAGCAGTTATGCAGTAATGAACAAATCTGTGTCGAGAATTTATAGTACTATAAATGTTTTTAAACTCATGAGGGAATTTCAATTAATAACTTATAGAATTGAATTTAAACAACTTATAAGAACACTAATTTTGATCATGTCTTTACTTCATAAACGTTTTTTTAAATATATATATTTTTTGTAGATATCTAAAAATTTTTTTAGAAACGTGTGCTAAAGATTGTATTGGTCAATATTAAGCATAATATGGAAGTTTTTAAAATCTTATACTTAAAGTTCATCGTTACTATAAGTAATAATAATTATTTCTAATTTTTTTCATATAAAGGTTAAAAGACGTAGATGCGACAGTAAAGCTTTTTCTAAAAATTATTTTGAAATCAATTTCTTATAACTAGATACTATACTCAATCTCACAACAAGTATTATTATATTTATATTCTTTCAAACTCATAAGCTCCATATATTGCTTATATTTATTAAAAAAGGTAATTGTGTACAATAAATTGACTTTTTTATTATTTTACATTTTTTTATTATATTTATTTTTTCAGTACTGTAAATGAATAAAATACCGGGAAAATTTTTGAGTTCTTTTTCCTTTTTATTAGATGAGCCAAAAATTCAGAACGTTCGCCGAACAAAAAAAAAATTTTTAAAAAAAAAAAAAATTTTTATTGGAAAACCTTCAGAATGGTGAAAAACTACAATATCAATAATAAAAAATTGACATTTTTAAAAAATAGGGTAAAAACAACCCCCATTAAGAATAAATATAAAAATATTACGAATATGACGACTTTCCTGTTCGCCTTTTTTCCTAAAAATATTTTTAAAAATTTTCTTTTATTATCCCCTTCGAAAATCCATATTCGGTATAACGCGCTCGAACCCCTAAAACCACCCCTAACACATATATCCCATAGAAGGCCTCAAATTGGTCAATTTCACGACTTTCCTGTTCGCCTTTTTTCCTAAAAATATTTTTAAAAATTCTCTTTTATTATCCCCTTCCAAAATCCATATTCGGTATAACGCGCTCGAACCCCTGAAAACCACCCCTAACACATATATCGCTTGCCGGACCGTATATTGGTCGAATTCACGACTTTCCTGTTCGCCTTTTTTCCTGAAAATATTTTTAAAAATTCTCTTTTATTATCCCCTTCCAAAATCCATATTCGGTATAACGCGCTCGAACCCCTGAAAACCACCCCTAACACATATATCGCTTGCCGGACCGTATATTGGTCGAATTCACGACTTTCCTGTTCGCCTTTTTTCCTGAAAATATTTTTAAAAATTCTCTTTTATTATCCCCTTCCAAAATCCATATTCGGTATAACGCGCTCGAACCGCTAAAACCACCCCTAACACATATATCCCATAGAAGGCCTCAAATTGGTCAATTTCACGACTTTCCTGTTCGCCTTTTTTCCTAAAAATATTTTTAAAAATTTTCTTTTATTATCCCCTTCGAAAATCCATATTCGGTATAACGCGCTCGAACCCCTAAAACCACCCCTAACACATATATCCCATAGAAGGCCTCAAATTGGTCAATTTCACGACTTTCCTGTTCGCCTTTTTTCCTAAAAATATTTTTAAAAATTTTCTTTTATTATCCCCTTCGAAAATCCATATTCGGTATAACGCGCTCGAACCCCTGAAAACCACCCCTAACACATATATCGCTTGCCGGACCGTATATTGGTCGAATTCACGACTTTCCTGTTCGCCTTTTTTCCTGAAAATATTTTTAAAAATTCTCTTTTATTATCCCCTTCCAAAATCCATATTCGGTATAACGCGCTCGAACCCCTGAAAACCACCCCTAACACATATATCGCTTGCCGGACCGTATATTGGTCGAATTCACGACTTTCCTGTTCGCCTTTTTTCCTGAAAATATTTTTAAAAATTCTCTTTTATTATCCCCTTCCAAAATCCATATTCGGTATAACGCGCTCGAACCCCTAAAACCACCCCTAACACATATATCCCATAGAAGGCCTCAAATTGGTCAATTTCACGACTTTCCTGTTCGCCTTTTTTCCTAAAAATATTTTTAAAAATTTTCTTTTATTATCCCCTTCCAAAATCCATATTCGGTATAACGCGCTCGAACCCCTGAAAACCACCCCTAACACATATATCGCTTGCCGGACCGTATATTGGTCGAATTCACGACTTTCCTGTTCGCCTTTTTTCCTGAAAATATTTTTAAAAATTCTCTTTTATTATCCCCTTCCAAAATCCATATTCGGTATAACGCGCTCGAACCCCTGAAAACCACCCCTAACACATATATCGCTTGCCGGACAGTGTATTGGTCGAATTCACGACTTTCCTGTTCGCCTTTTTTCCTGAAAATATTTTTAAAAATTCTCTTTTATTATCCCCTTCCAAAATCCATATTCGGTATAACGCGCTCGAACCCCTAAAACCACCCCTAACACATATATCCCATAGAAGGCCTCAAATTGGTCAATTTCACGACTTTCCTGTTCGCCTTTTTTCCTAAAAATATTTTTAAAAATTCTCTTTTATTATCCCCTTCCAAAATCCATATTCGGTATAACGCGCTCGAACCCCTAAAACCACCCCTAACACATATATCCCATAGAAGGCCTCAAATTGGTCAATTTCACGACTTTCCTGTTCGCCTTTTTTCCTAAAAATATTTTTAAAAATTTTCTTTTATTATCCCCTTCGAAAATCCATATTCGGTATAACGCGCTCGAACCCCTAAATCGACCCCTAACACATATATCCCATAGAAGGCCTCAAATTGGTCAATTTCACGACTTTCCTGTTCGCCTTTTTTCCTAAAAATATTTTTAAAAATTCTCTTTTATTATCCTCTTCCAAAATCCATATTCGGTATAACGCGCTCGAACCCCTAAAACCATCCCTAACACATATATCGCTTGCGGGAACGTATATTGGTCAAATTCACGACTTTCCTGTTCGCCTTTTTTCCTAAAAATATTTTTAAAAATTTTCTTTTATTATCCCCTTTCAAAATCCATATTCGGTATAACGCGCTCGAACCCCTAAAACCACCCCTAACACATATATCCCATAGAAGGCCTCAAATTGGTCAATTTCACGACTTTCCTGTTCGCCTTTTTTCCTAAAAATATTTTTAAAAATTCTCTTTTATTATCCCCTTCCAAAATCCATATTCGGTATAACGCGCTCGAACCCCTGAAAACCACCCCTAACACATATATCGCTTGCCGGACCGTATATTGGTCGAATTCACGACTTTCCTGTTCGCCTTTTTTCCTAAAAATATTTTTAAAAATTTTCTTTTATTATCCCCTTCGAAAATCCATATTCGGTATAACGCGCTCGAACCCCTAAATCGACCCCTAACACATATATCCCATAGAAGGCCTCAAATTGGTCAATTTCACGATTTTCCTGTTCGCCTTTTTTCCTAAAAATATTTTTAAAAATTTTCTTTTATTATCCCCTTCGAAAATCCATATTCGGTATAACGCGCTCGAACCCCTAAAACCACCCCTAACACATATATCCCATAGAAGGCCTCAAATTGGTCAATTTCACGACTTTCCTGTTTGCCTTTTTTCCTAAAAATATTTTTAAAAATTCTCTTTTATTATCCCCTTCCAAAATCCATATTCGGTATAACGCGCTCGAACCCCTGATAACCACCCCTAACACATATATCGCTTGCCGGACCGTATATTGGTCGAATTCACGACTTTCCTGTTCGCCTTTTTTCTTAAAAATATTTTTAAAAATTTTCTTTTATTATCCCCTTCGAAAATCCATATTCGGTATAACGCGCTCGAACCCCTAAATCGACCCCTAACACATATATCCCATAGAAGGCCTCAAATTGGTCAATTTCACGATTTTCCTGTTCGCCTTTTTTCCTAAAAATATTTTTAAAAATTTTCTTTTATTATCCCCTTCGAAAATCCATATTCGGTATAACGCGCTCGAACCCCTAAAACCACCCCTAACACATATATCCCATAGAAGGCCTCAAATTGGTCAATTTCACGACTTTCCTGTTCGCCTTTTTTCCTAAAAATATTTTTAAAAATTTTCTTTTATTATCCCCTTCGAAAATCCATATTCGGTATAACGCGCTCGAACCCCTAAAACCACCCCTAACACATATATCCCATAGAAGGCCTCAAATTGGTCAATTTCACGACTTTCCTGTTCGCCTTTTTTCCTAAAAATATTTTTAAAAATTCTCTTTTATTATCCTCTTCCAAAATCCATATTCGGTATAACGCGCTCGAACCCCTAAAACCATCCCTAACACATATATCGCTTGCGGGAACGTATATTGGTCAAATTCACGACTTTCCTGTTCGCCTTTTTTCCTAAAAATATTTTTAAAAATTTTCTTTTATTATCCCCTTTCAAAATCCATATTCGGTATAACGCGCTCGAACCCCTAAAACCACCCCTAACACATATATCCCATAGAAGGCCTCAAATTGGTCAATTTCACGACTTTCCTGTTCGCCTTTTTTCCTAAAAATATTTTTAAAAATTCTCTTTTATTATCCCCTTCCAAAATCCATATTCGGTATAACGCGCTCGAACCCCTGAAAACCACCCCTAACACATATATCGCTTGCCGGACCGTATATTGGTCGAATTCACGACTTTCCTGTTCGCCTTTTTTCCTAAAAATATTTTTAAAAATTTTCTTTTATTATCCCCTTCGAAAATCCATATTCGGTATAACGCGCTCGAACCCCTAAATCGACCCCTAACACATATATCCCATAGAAGGCCTCAAATTGGTCAATTTCACGATTTTCCTGTTCGCCTTTTTTCCTAAAAATATTTTTAAAAATTTTCTTTTATTATCCCCTTCGAAAATCCATATTCGGTATAACGCGCTCGAACCCCTAAAACCACCCCTAACACATATATCCCATAGAAGGCCTCAAATTGGTCAATTTCACGACTTTCCTGTTTGCC